TGGGAATGAATATTATCCTCCAGCGGAAGAGGACGGAGAAAGGAGAAGGGGCCCCACACCAGGCCTGGGACTCCAACATTAAGAGGGCGGAGAGAGGAGGAAGCACCTGCAAAGGGGACAAAGGGGAGGGAATCAGAGAGAGAAGAAAAACCGGAAAAGGATGGCAACCTCAGAGCCAAGAGAGCAGTGTTTTACGAGGGAAGTGGTGAGGTGGGGGCGAGGGAGACAGAAAGGCTGTCCCTAGATGTGGCCACACAAAAGCCACCAGTGGTGGTGACAAGAGTAGCTTGACTGGACTTGGAACGGAAGGAGGAGGATGTGGGTCGGTGTGGACAAACGAGTGGTGAGAAAGTGGAGACGGCTTGTGAACACAACCCCGAGAATGTCAGCTGTGAAAGGGAATGAAGAAATATACCCACGGAGGATGAGCCACCCGGTGGGATGTTTGGGGGTGAGAAATACTAGAGTGTGTTTGGAAACTCTCAAAGTGATCACTGGAGAGTGAGACACTGTGTCTTGGTTGTTTTTGTTTTGTTTTTGTTTTTGTTTTGTTTTTGATAATGATGAGAACATACAATTGAGCGATTCTTCACAGTTTACCAAGTGTTGTCACACACTCTCTCTCATCCTCACAGCCATCCTGTGAGTTATGTAGCAGCCCCAGATAATAGATGAGGAGGCTGAAGCTTAGAGAAGTTGAGTGATGCGCTCAAGGTCAGTGCCAGGAAGCGGCAGGGACAGGAGCCCACTCCCAGGCTGCTCTGGGCCCAACCCTCGGACCCCTCCTTGCCCACAGCAGCCCTGTCCCAACCGACTGGCACCAACACTGGATGCTACTCACACAAGTATGGGTTGCACCCTGCTGGTGTCTTTCAAGCAGACTTTCCAATCGCCACCAAACCAATCACTTCTGCCTGCTGGCCCAGCCTTGGATATGATGAAGTCACATCTGCTTTTTAAAGACATGGACCCTGTCCCACTGCTAACCCCGTTTCACAGAGCCTCAAAGCCTCTTGAACTTCTAGAAGCACCCCACAATCTCTGGCAGGTGTCAGAGATGAAATCGTGAAATTTCACATACCTTACACTCGACCCCAGGGGTGTGGGAACTGACAGCCCAGAGGGATTATGGGTAGGTTAGCAACTGTGGCTAATCTCTATACCTCAGTAAAAGTGCCCAGAGTTTTCATATTTGTAAAATTATAGTATTATCATGAGGATGAGATGAGATAGAAGGGTGTTTAGCACCTGGTGACTGCTCTATCGATGCTACCTATGATTGTTTTTATTTATTCATCTACTCACTCATTCGCTCACTCTTGCATTGGGCATTTGTTGGGCACCTTTTCTATGGCAAGCCTTGCTCTAAACACAGCAAATGCAGAGACATAGCTACATGCTTCTAGAGCTTAAGAAACACATGAATTAATGAGAGAAGTGATGTGGGAACTCAAACAACTCTGCCCTTGCAGGAATGAGTGAAATGCAAAACACGGTGCATATGCAGAGAACAGATCACATCTGGCGGAGACAGTGGTTGCTGGGCAGGGTTCATGGGAGGCAGGAGGGTGGGGAGAACATTCCCCACAGAGGGGATAGCTGCAGCTGAGCTGAGTCACAGGAGCCCAAAAGGGCAGATCCTATTCAGAAACCCAAGTGGAGCGTCAGCTCTATGCAGAATAGTGGGGTGGGGTGGGGGGGGGGAGCGGATAAGGCAGATTATCCTGAGGGAAGACTATGAGAACTCATAGCTTTCTATGACCAGCTTGACTGACAGCTAAGGGCAGCCTGGGCAGAGGGAAGGAGTGGCAACGCCCTCTGTGCATTGGCCCCAGAACACTCCATGGATTGTCAAGAACTCTACCTAGGAGCTGTATTGTGTCTATAGCCCTGGCAGGTTGGGGCGAGGGGCGGGAGTCGTGGGCGGAGAGAAGAGAGAGTGTAATGTTCATGCCAGGCTGCCATGTAGGTTGGGTAGGACTCTGTAGTTCTCACTCTACAACAGATGGAGGAATTAAGCCAGCCTAGTAACCCCATTCTGCAGGAACTAGCACCCCCAAATCTTCAAAGCAAAGGTGATGCAGGGCCATTTGCTTGCCCAGGGTCACCACCATGGGAGCAGGGACCTTGTGTGCATGCCCATCATCCCAGATTTAGAAGGAAAGGACTAACCCCCAGTGTGTGCTGGACCCACGGCCCCTCACTTCCTCCTGGGAGTTGGCTCCAGAGGATGGTAAACACATGCCAGGACACCAGAAAGATGGGGGTAGAAAAGGGCATGTCAAAGCTGGACCTTACATGTCTCCCACCCATAGTCTGGGGGAGAACACACCTGCTCTGCCCATCCCCCAAGGTTAGGAGACCCGTGGACCGAGAGATGCAGACTCAGAAGGGCTCTCACAGAGCTGCTAGCCCAGTGCCTTTTCAACACTGGCTCTGGAATCCAATTTAAACAACATTGGATGGAATGGGTTGCATAAAATAAAATACATCAAAATGCTTGGGTTGAAACCCAGAGTGGAGGGCCCAGAGTACCCCCCCATGGCCATATTTGCCCACACATTTTGATTCAGTCCAACTCTCTTGTTTTGTGGAACAGAAACCCAGAACGTGGGTCTCCGACCATCCAAGGTCACAAAGCTCATCTCTGGCATAGTCAAGACCTGCCAGAAGCGAATGAAATCAAGGATGAGAAAGCTCTTTGTAAACTGTAAGGTACTGTAGAAGCGAAGGGTTGTTATCGCCACTGTTTGCAGGAGGACCTCGGGCGTTTCTCACAGTTGCTACTTTGGAGGGCGGGTGCTGCCAGGAAGAAAACGCAGAGGACCACAAGCGTTGGCACCAAGGACAACACAGAAAGAACATGTGATTTGGACCCTGGAAATGGTTAGAGGCCCAGCACTGCTATGTACGAGCTGTATAACCTGGACAGCTCACGTTGCCTCTCTGACCCTCAGTTTCTTGTTCTAGAAAAATGCCTTACCTACCTTCCTTCTGGGATTATGTGGGGTTCAGGTGAGACAAACCATGTGAAAGTGCTGGTAGCCAAGCCCAGCACCCTGGGACTACAGTGTCTTGTAGGAGCAGCAGGAATGGTCGTAAACAGAAGAGTCAGAGGCTCAGAGGACTAGTTTTTAGCACCCAGAAGGCACTTCCTGTCCTTGGGGGCTGATGCCAGCTGCTGACAGAGCTGGAACCCATGTGCTGTCTGTCCTGCCCAGACGCACCCCCCAGGTCATGCTGTGCCCTCAGCACAGCCCTCAGATGCTCTTTGTCAAGACGTCTATGTCCCAACCTTCCATCAGCAGGTGCTGACTCAGCCCCCAGTGAGCTCGGTCTCCCCATGCGCACACCGCAGGTGCCAGGAGGCGCCCGGCCAGTTGTTCAGCATCCCCCAAACTTTTCTGGCTCTGCACCTTGGTGACAATGGAAAGGGCCAAGTTGGATCCCTTTCAGGAAAGCAAGAAATGATTTCTCTCAAAAACCTTGGAGAGTTCTTTCTGCCCTCCCTGGAGTGCTCTCTGCCCAGGACCATCAGAGGCTGGCAGCTGAACTGAGATGTACGTGCTCAGGTTAAAACAAAGGCGGAGGCGGGGAACTAATGGGTAGGGGTTGACTGGGCTCCTCTGGAGAGCCTGGCAAGCTGGTGTTCCGGGATTGGGAGGGGGCCCTCCGACGTCCATGGCCGTGCTCTCTGCGGGGAGACCTGGGGCATGCCGCTTTCTCCAGATGGAAGTGTGACGGGAGGAAATCGACCATGAGACACGTAAGCCTTTATGACTCAGGTGTGAGCTCTGAGGTTTCACTCATCCAGTCATTCAATACGTATTTATTGATCACCTATTGTATGCCAGGCACTGTTGTAGGGCCAGGAGCACAAAATAGAGAGTTCCACCCACATGGAGCTGAATTCCTGTGGGACTGGTCACAGAAAGAACAGATAACGGAGACGATCCAGACTGTCCGCTGGTGGTGACAGCCATGCGGGGAGAGAGCAGTGGGGGAGAGGAAGGAGTGGAGGCTGGTGGTGGGGCAGTGCAAGTTTCCGGATGCGGCAGGAAGGCCTCACTGAAAAGGACCAACAGAGCCAGGGCCCGAGGGAGGTGCAGGGGGGGCCAGGGCGGCGGGGGGTGAGGGGGACAGCCCTGCGGACATCTGAAGGGGAAACATCCTGGGCGGAGGGAGCAGTGAGGCCGTGTGGCCGCAGGAGAGTGAAAGGAGAGGGGTGATGACTGATCAGAACTTCAATCTTTTGGTGTGAGTTTCGTAGAAAAAGAAATCCAGAGAGTCTGCCTAGTGACTTTAGATGTGTTCATACTTTCCCATCTAAGATGTAAATTTTATATTTACTGTGTAAATGTTGGGACTTTCTGTCAGGAGAGAGCCATTCCAAAGCTCAATGACAAAGCCTCTGCTCCTCCTCAGTGCACTCACGCAAGGGCCCTGGGGATAGCACGAAGGGCCTGAGAGGAGTCCCAACACCTGGCTCCTGCTCGCTGTGTTACCCTGGGAAGGGCGCTGACCTCCCCTGAGCCTTAGTTCTCCTGATGAAGCTCATCAGTTGCTTCATCTGTAAAATGGGTTTATTATACCACCTCCCTCCCCTCCCTCACTTAATAGTTGTTACATTTAATGAGATCATAAATAGGAAAGTGCCTTTTACATTGAGACGGGCAAGGTCAATGCCTGGGAGTTTCTTGTTTTCTCCAGCAGAGCCTGTGGGGAGGGGTGCTTGCTGGCTTCCCACTCCCCCACTCCTCACATTTTTTCCTGTGCGGGCCCAGCTGACTCTCCCTTTGCCTGGGCCCATGTCTGATTCAGGGACAGACATCAGACACCCAGGGACCCCCACGCCAAGGCTGCTGAGGGTTCCTCAGCTGTGCTGTGGGGCTGAATTGCCCCGTAGTGACCTCTCTGGGACGACTCTGAGCCATTGCTGGTCACATAGAACCAGGTAGCCCAGCTGCTCCTCCCAACATCCTCTTCCCCTTCTCCTCCAGGTACAACGGTCCCAACCTGGTTCTGAAGTACGACCGGGCCCAGAAGCGGCTGGTGAACATTGCCGTGGACAAACGCAGCTCCCCCTACTATGCACTGCGGGACCGGCAGGGCAATGCCATCGGGGTGACAGCCTGTGACATCGACGGGGATGGCCGTGAGGAGATCTACTTCCTCAATACCAATAATGCCTTCTCAGGTAAGGGGCTGGGGCCTCTTCCTGCTGCCCACCTTCATCCTCCCAGCACCAGCTGGGGGCAGGGCTTTGGGGACCCCGGCCTTCCTCAGGCTACTGTCCTGGCCTGCCTCCAGGACCTTGCTCTGTTCCAGCAAGGGGACCCCGTCTTCTCTTGTATGTGAAGCTTGTTCTCATCTCCTGGCCGCTGGGCCTGGAGCGGAGGGCCTGGGGCGGAGGCCCAGTCCTCACCTTGAGCACATGAACCAGAGTTCACGTCCTCTTGCCTCCCAGTATAAGCAGCCCCAGTCCTCCCACCCCCTCCCCTTCTCCCTCTCCCCACTGCTCCCGCCTGGCCCCCACCACTCAGCACTTCTCACCCAGGTGGCCACCACAGCCAACCAATGGTCCCTTGGAATTGCCCTCCATACTGTTTCAGGGGCAGGGTGCTTTCTAAAATGCTTTGAAATCCTTCAGTGGCCCCCACAGCTTTCAGCTGAGCTCATTTATTCACTCCACAAATTCCTGCCGAGGACCTACTCCATGCCAGACCAGAGGTGCTGGGTGAGACGGGCACCACTTGGAGGCAGACAGACCTTCAGTTCATGGAGCCTTTTCTAGTCCAGAGCATCCGTCTGAGTCACCGTCGGGGTCATGTGTGAATGTGGATTCAGACTCAGCCATTCTGGGTGGGGCCCGAGACCCTGTATTGCTCACACACTCTTGGGCTATGAGGATGCTATCAGGCCAGGGACCACACTTTGAGTAGCATGGTCCAACACACCAAGGAATGGAGGAAGGAAATTGATGCCCAGAAGGCTAAGTAATACTAACAATAATGATAACACATAGTACTTAAATAGCACCTACTGTGTGCCGGGCCCTGATCTAAACACTTCATAATAATTATCTCATTTTTTTTAGTTTTTAAATATATTTTACTGATTATGCTATGACAGTTGTCCCATTTCCCCCCTTCATTCCCCTCCACCCTGCACACCCCCTCCCACCCACATTCCCCCCCTTTAGTTCATGTCCATGTGTCATAAGTTCTTTAGCTTCTACATTTCCTACATTATTCTTGCCCTCCCCCTATTTTCTACCTACATCTATGCTACTTATTCTCTGTACCTTTTCCCCCCTCTCTTCCTCCCACTCCCCTGTTGCTAACCCTCCATGTGATCTCCATTTCTGTGGTTCTGTTCCTGTTCTAGTTGTTTGCTTGGTTTGTTTGTTTTTGTTTTAGGTGTGGTTGTTAATAATTGTGAGTTTGCTGTCATTTTGCTATACCTGTTTCTTCTTTTTCTTAGATAAGTCCTTTTAACATTTCATAGATAAGGGCTTGGTGATGATGAACTCCTTTAACTTGACTTTATCTGAGAAGCACTTTATCTGCCCTTCCATTCCAAATGATAGCTTTGCTGGATAGAGCAATCTTGGATGTAGGTCCTTGCCTTTCATGACTTTGAATACTTCTTGCCTGTAAGGTCTCTTTTGAGAAATCATTTGACAGTCTGATGGGAACTCCTTTGTAGGTGACTGTATCCTTATCTCTTGCTGCTTCTAGGATTCTCTCCTTCATTTTAATCTTGGGTAATATAATTATGATGTGCCTTGGTGTGCTCCTCCTTGGGTCCAACTTCTTTGGGACTCTCTGAGCTTCCTGGACTTCCTGGAAGTCTGTTTCCTTTGCCAGATTGGGGAAGTTCTCCTTTATTATTTGTTCAAATAACTTTTACACTTGTTGCTCTTCTTCTCCTTCTGGTACCCCTATGATTCGGATGTTGGAACATTTAAAGATGTTCTGGAGGTTCCTAAGCCTCTCTTCATTCTTTTGAATTCTCATTTCTTCATTCTTTTCTATTTGATTGTTTCTTTCTTCCTTCTGGTCCACTCCATTGATTTGAGTCCCAGTTTCCTTCCCATCACTATTGGTTCTCTGTACATTTTCTTTCATTTCACGTACCATAACCTTCATTTTTTCATCTAATTTGTGACCAAATTCAACCAATTCTGTGAGCATCCTGATCACCAGTGGTTTGAACTGTGCATCTGATAGATTGGCTATCTCTTCGTCACTTAGTTGTATTTGCTGTGGAGCTTTGAACTGTTCTTCTGTTTGGGCCAATTTTTTTGCCTTGCTCCGCCTGTTACATATGAGGGGCAGAGCCTTAGGCCATTCACCAGGGTGGGGTATCACATGTGGCTGGGTTGTGACACTGTACGTGGGGGTGGGGTCCAAGAGGGAACAATGGCACTTGCTCTGCTTTCTGTCGGATTTCAGTCCCTTCCACTGCTTCCCCCAAGCAAACTGGGCCTTTCTGGTGCTAATTCCCGTGTTGGTGGGCTTGTGCACGTTCTAGGACCTTGTGGGTCTCTCCAATGAACTCTCCTATGAGGCTGGGAGTCTCTCCCTGCGCCTCAACCCCCACAGGTGTTTTTAATCAGTGTCCTGAGGCTCTTTCTCAGTCCTGGGACCCTAGGTTGCACAGTCTGTTTCGCTCCCCAATTTTGCCTGGTTTATCTGAGTGCAAATGTGGGACCCCCAGGCAGCCAGCCACCTTGCACGCAGTGCCTTGCTTCACAATCACCGCCTCACTGGGTCTGCCCATTGCCACCCCATGCCTGGGGTCTGCCAGCTGCCACCTGTGTGTCCAGGTTCGCCTGCTACAGTCTTGCACACCAGGGATGACTTACTTGTCCAGTACCACCGCTTTTTGTGCCTCGACCCCTCTCCACCTGGCTTCCCATCTCCATCTGCGCCCCTCCTACAGGTCTGGATGAACATATCTATTTTAACTCCTTGGTTGTCTGACTTCCACACAGTTCAATTTTCTGTCAGTTCTGGTTGTTATTTTGTTTCTAAATTGTTGGTGTCCCTATTTTGGTTGTGCAAGGGGGCACAGTGAGTCTACCTACGCTTCCATCTTGGCCAGCAGTAATAATTATCTCATTTAAGCCTCACTGAACCTCAGTAAAGTAGGTACTGGTGTATCTCACTTTATAGTTGAGGAAACTGAGGCCTAAAGAGATCACATGACTTTCCTGAGGCCACACAACTTGTAAGTACCAGGACCCAAAAGCAGGGGCCTGATTCCAGCTTCATCCTTTCAATCAAGACACTCTATGGGCTCACTCAGTCCTGTGTCTTCCAGGCCCAGCAGAGAGCCTGGCTCATACTGGGTGCTCAGTGTTTCATGAGTTGAGGACTGTGCTCTGGGGGCTGCAGGTGGTCCCCAACCCCACATTCTTTCACGCCTGACCTCCACCCACTGTTATGAAGTTTTCTCCTGTGAGGCCATGACATCAGCAGGAAGTCCCAGGCCAGGGTGTCCTCCTGAAGGATGCAGGACCTCGTGTGCCTGTAAGGCCAGCTTGGGCGTGCACCTGGGTTCTTCCAGATGGCAGCAGCCTCTTGGGTTGGTCTGGATGACACCTTGTGCTTCACACCTGTGTCTTCACCACCCTAACCTCCTATGGGCAGCTGATCACCTGACTCCAAGGACCCCCTTCCCTTCCTTTCCTCCTTCTACACACGTGGGCTGTCCCCTGGGCCCATAATGTTGCCCCTACTGGTTGTTGAGCCCAAGCCAGGGTCCAGTCCCTAGACTGCCTCTGATGTTGAGCCCTGCCAGTTGCACGAATGGGAGGGGACAAGGTTGGGGCCCATGCCAGGGGTAGGGGCGGGCAGGGCTGGCTGGCTGGCAGCCAGGCTTATGCAGCCAAGAAACAATGAGCCACAGCCCCGCATGGTGTTTTATGGGTTTTCATCTCATCTTGCCACCAAGTGAAGCCTGAGAGATAGTAATTATCCCTACACAAATATCAGGGCATGATTACCCAGCTGGATTTACTGCCCTCTCTCCAACCAAGCCAAGATTGGATTAGGACACAATTAATTGATGGGCTGATCAACCCTTTAATGTGGGGCAAGGTCAGGAGGGGAGCAGCAGCAGCAAGGGACGGCTGAGGAAGGGGCGAGTCTGCAGGAAGGCCCTGGAGGGCAGGGAAACAGAAACAGGGAGAACTGTGGAAGAAAGGGGGGCATTCACTGTGGGCTCTGCTGGCAAGATGCCAGAGGAAGGGCACACTCTCCTCCCTACTCACTGAGCATAGAGCACCTGGGCTGGGACCTGTCAGGTGTCTCTGAAGCAGCAGCCCCTCCCATCCTCTTAGAGTCCTCCTTTGCGACTCCCAGACCAGTGGCACTCAGCCAAGGCTGCACATTAGACTCTCCTGGGGAGCTTTTAGCATGCCCAGTTTGCAAGGTGCACCCCAGTCCAACTCAATCCGAACCTCTGGGATGTCACCCAGTTGTCAGATCTCCAGGTGATTCCCTCGTGCAGTCGGAATGGGGGGCGACTACCCCAGAGTCACGTTAGCTCCATGCTCAGCCTAACCACAGCCCTTTCATTCACTAGTGCATTCATTCAGTGGACAAATATTTATTGAGCACCTGCTGTGTGCCAGGCATTATTCTAGACACTGAGGATGCCCCAGTGAATGAAACAGAAAAATTCTGCCCTCATGTTTACACACTGTCCCCAGCATGGCCTTATATTTCTCTAGGTATCTGACTCCCCTCTCCCAGGCCCCTGGACTCTAAGCTCCTTGAGGGCAAAATCCCTGTGTTGGTCCTTTTGTGCATCCCTCTGGTGAAGCCAGACCTTGAGCATCCTAACAGCACAATCAACTCTTAATAAATAAATCCAGGAAGGACAGGCAAGACACGAGCCATTAGGCCTGAAACAAGGTTTGCTGACAAAGGGGAGGGGAGACAGTCAATATGGAGCCCCCCAGAGGTCCTGGGCTTCCCGGGTTTGTGGGTCGAGGTGTTCCTCTCAGAGAGGCTGGAGCGGAGCCTGGAGGGCTGGGGCAAGGATGGTGGTGCCCGGCAGCCTCAGTCCCAGGCGTGCACCTCCCAGTGACCTTCTGTGGTTTGAGGGATGTCTGTGGGTTTAAGTTAATTTTTCAGTTGAGTGATTCAATTGATTCATTGACAGTGGGTGGGGTGTGGAGCCGGG